TGAAATGAGTTCCAAGACTGATTAAAAACTACAGTAAAACCTGCGAACAGGGAATGCTCTTGGGACTGGAGGAAAGTTTCCTTGTTCAGAGGTTTTCCCTATAGAGAGGGGCCGCACTTTCAGCAAACTCAAACTTGTTGAATAAGCATATTTGTATGTATAAAGGCATGTAAGAACTTAATTTCAAGTTTCAACCCCATTTTATATCATTGATAATCTAGAGGTTTGGATCAGTAAACTATTTAAAGAGATTTGGCTCAACATGACAGATGTACTTATCTGTTATCTCCATAAAACAATTGTGCCAGTCCCTAGATTATCACAAATGATTAGATGTAATTGGGTTTGTTGAAAGGAAGAATTAGTGTCATAATAAGAAGAAATGAACAGATTAGTATAAGTTAAAATATATTAGGGTAATTAACAGTGGGTGGGATGCTTCATCCTGTGAACAATTGGCTTATCTTAATCCCATTCATATTAATCCAAGCATTTTAGAATCAGATATTGGCTTAAGACTTTCACACCTCTGAAACACTGGAATATACAGTGTCACCAATATTCCAAATTCCTTGTTCACAGGTGAATTTTCATAATTTGCCCGAAAGTAGTGTTCCTTGTTCCCTGTTCACAGGTTTTCCCTACAGAGAGGGTCCGTTTACATCTAAGTCAATGGAAAAATATTTTGTTCTTTTGAAAAGCATTCCTTGTTCATAGGTTTTCCCTACAGAGAGGTATTCCATCGGGCAGGTTTTACTGTACATGTATATAAGCTTTAGTATTGTCTTCATTCACAAGGTCATCTGAATCAAGAGGCGTTACTTGCTTTTCCACTAAGTGTTGCTTCATTTTCACTATTAAATAATATATAAAACCCTTTAAATAAATAAAGGTTTTGTAGTTTTTATTATTTTTAATAGGAAGGCCCTTCATCAGAATGCCAACATATAATTAATTTTGAATGGCCTAATCTGTACATGCAGTTATATTGTAGTGTACATGTATGCCCAGGTTAGCAGCCATATTGAAAACATAAACCAGTCAGCCTTATTTTCATCACAAAAGTTAAGTTTTAGTGGTGAGCCCACACTCCCACAAAAATGATATTTGCAAAGAAAATACTTTACAGTCTCTGCATTATACAGTTTCAATATCTTTTTTGTGGGAGAATGGGCTGATGGTTAAATTTTCAACGAAAGGAAATGAGCACCATGCTAAAACTTGATAACAAAGTGAACAAAAATGACAATGTTTTCCAGATTTGCATTGGTAAACTTCATACATAGCTAGATTTTTTCAATGTTGTACTCCTAATGCTTGTATGTCATATGTTCCATATAATAAATTCTATGTAATGAAAAGTTTTGATATTATTTTGATGGTAAACATAGTGTGTACCCATATTCAGACAGCCTTGTGATAGGGGTTCTTACTGCCAATTTTTCAAAGAAACTGAAAACTAATGCCACTTTTTGAATTTGCACACCTCAAGAAAAAAGGTTTATCTACAACTTGCAATCGGTTTTGAAAGTAAATGGAAGAATGAGTTTTTTGGAAAAAGTCTAAGTTGACCAATAGTCTGTTAAATGGACCTGTTCTTTACACAAATGATAGAGGATATCAAGTTCTAGAGCTGATTAACTTTTGGGCGGCCATCTTGTTTTCTGGCAGCCATTTTGAAGATTTTTCGAAAAATCTTGTCATCGCCATTTCAGAAAATCCGCTCATCGGATTTCCTTCAAATTTACACACATGATAGAGGATATCAAGTACTAGAGCTGATTAACTTTTGGGCGGCCATCTTGTTTTCTGGTGGCCATTTTGAAGGTTTTTCGAAAAATCTTGTCATCGCCATTTCAGGAAAACCGCTCATCGGATTTCTTTCAAATTTACACAAATGATAGAGGATATCAAGTAGAGCTGATTAACTTTTGGGCGGCCATCTTGTTTTCTTGTTCTTGAAATTTGTAAACATAATAGGAGAACAGTTTTTCTGGTTCATAGTGTCTGCCTATTTGATGGTGTGATCTCGTTCACGTCCTGTGCCTTGTTATGGACAGCAACGCATTGTATTAGTTTTACATTAGATGTTAGCAGACGGTTACATGCAAGAATTCCTGTCAAGTCAAAGTCCCTAGATGGATAGCTCTCTATGTGTGAACTGCCTATATTTGTTTTCAGGACTCGCAAGAGACGCCCTCACTCTTAAAAATGAATTACTTGAGTATTTCCCAAGTATAAAAATTACTTGTCATTTTGAGTTTTTTAATTGCTTAATTATGTAAATGAGTATTACAATTACTACAGTAAGTATTTCAATTTCTCTCCTTGCATTAGTAAATTCACCATAAATGAATTACTTGAAAATTACTTAAAAATTATTCAGTAGTTCAAGATTATTTAAGTAATTTTTGACTTAAAATGAGAAGTACAATTTCTCAATACAAGTATAAGGAAATCCAAGTAATAATTTTTAAGAGTGCTTGCTTGAGCCTCTATAGGGCAAGGAAAAAAATAGCGAAAGCCAAAATGATTGTAATGAAGAGGCAAAGTACAGTCAATATGGTACAACGAAAATGGGACTTCTGCGCATGTTAAAATTTTTCGTCAAAACTCAACTTTTGTTCAAGTTGATACGATTGTCTTTCGAACTAGAGACTTACCTCATTCGAAAGATCATAAAAGACTTTATCTATACTGAAAATCTTAGATCCAAACATAGTAGAATACGCCGTCAGTCCGCATTTGATTTTTTGAAGTGAGTTTCGTAGATCGTCAGATTTCTCCGACTGATATCGGGTTATCTCAAACTGGTTCGTTTATAAATACAAATTTGTTTACCGTTGTAAGGCGCATGCGCAAAATTGATTTATAAACCTTATTGGTTGATGGTTTTTCTCCTGCGCATGCGTGAAGTCTGATGAACACTTATGACGAAGACCGGAGCAAACATTACTAGCTCTTGAACAAAATTCCAAGATTCAGGTCATTTCGCCGTGTTTGCTAAGCGTGTATACGTGAATGACAAGCTGTTTTGAGTAGATCGGGTACCTGTTTTAGACACAACATTGATTTAGCTTGACATTGATGTGCACATTGGCACTTTTGAGCATGTTAATACAAGTTTTTACACTCTTAGCACGAGACGGGTTTTCGAAAAATCTGTTATCTGATTCACTCGATTATCGTATGGATATGTATTTCTGCTGACATTTCAACACCACATCACATAGAATTACGATGCAGAATGATAATAAAACACAAAACAACTACTAAATTCCACTTGTTATTTCACAGGAGGTAAAAATGCAAACTGCCTAGATTCTTTGTAAGGGTCGTCAGACATCGGATTGGCCGCCATATTTGAAATGAAAATATCACTAAATAGAGGTCTGCGCATGCCTCAACATTTCGACTGAGTAAGAAATTAGTAACAACGAACAGGCGACGGAAGAAAACAACTCCAAATTAATTGATGATGATGTCATGAGTGACATTAGACATATATTACCATTATTACAAATCATATTCAACTGTTTATCACACCATCTTCATAATAGTACAATAACGTCATTTCTGCGGGCAATATAGTGAAATATTGGACCAAGGCCGGTTGAAAAACATTTCAATTTTGGATCACAAGCGATATGAAATGATTCGGTTTTACATATATGAACGAGGTTCGCATAACTGTCTATCAATTTTTGGCGTATCCGCAAATTCAAAATACATTATAATGGATTGAGTAGAACATATTAAGTGGTTTACAATGCTTAACTGGCTTTGTATGATCGTATGTAGGTTACATTTATATACACAAAGGTTGTTGCGCAATGTAGAGCATGCCCTAACGAGGAAAAGAAACAAATAACTAAATTTTATGAAGTTTTGAATTTCAAACTCGACAGTTTTTTGCTTATTTCATGTTATCCATGGGCGTCGATTTGCAAAGACTACGTTCAAAATAAACATTACTGAATGCATCACCGAATGCGACGCTTACATAAATCTTTCATGCTTTTATTGATACGCAGTAGTAGAACATAATGCACCTACCTTAGCTTTCTGTTTCATCGTGGCCATTTTATTGGATAAATCAGTGATCGTATTCGACTAACCTCGTTTTCAGAGGTGGCGTATCCGTCATGCTATAACACCGTGTTGAATATGCATCAGTTTTAGTGGTTCTCTTTTCATATTACCCTTGTGTATCTGATAGTTATACAAATTAAAATATGTCCAGTAAAAGAAAATATTATCTGCCCAACACAAGAAAAGATAGATAGATTTGTAGATTCCAAATATGACATCAGTTTGACTGAAACAGAATTTTTAATGACGTAAATCAAGATTATTTCTACTCGCATCTGGGCTATTCTAGATTTTGATTTATATCAAAAATGTTCAATTCAACAGGTGCATTTGGATTTGTGAAATGCAACCTGTGTAAGGGTAAGTTATCTTATAAAGGTAAATGACATTCTATATAAGTTGCCCTAGTCATTCCACAGTTCCAGGTGTTATTTTGTGGAGCCCATGTCTTGCCACATCACACGGAGAAATGACTTTGACAAACCTTGGACATCTTTCTTTCAGTCCAAGGACTCTAAAATAACAAGAATTCGCATTGTCGGGAGCGTAAAATTGGTTATTTTGAATGCCGCCTCTTGTATTTTTCATCTGCCTCTTGTACACAAAGTTACTGAAACCACTGCTCTGGCTGCATTTTTGAATGCCTGTGGCGCAAGTCAATTGCTTAATATTTACATGTGTTATCTCCCGGTATCACGAAAAAGATCAATAGGCGCTGCAAAGTGAATAACATGGTCACAGGTTTTCAACAAAAAGAGCTCATCCAAGCACTGCTGGGCTTCTTTTTCTTTTTCATGATACCATGGGGAGAAATCTTAATAAATTTTGCACAACTGACTTGCGCCACAGGGGGTTCATAAAATGCAGCCTAGATGACCATTTCAAAAGAGAGTATATTTAAATTGAGGTTTTTACAGTATTATTTGAACTATACTGTTACATCTTCGAAAGAAAATTTCTTGGTGGCATACTTATTAGCAGAGCTAAATTCTCATCAGTCCTTTGATTGGTAAACCCCATCTTGGTCACCACAAAATCTTTTATGGCTTGTTTATCAAGAGTCTCCGGCAATAGTATTGCGTAGGAAATATCTCTTTTCTGATCTAATTGTGATATCAAAACTGCATGTTTCATAATATGATGTATGGCATCTTGTTCACTGTTACCATAGTAATCAGCGCGATATCTCAGTGCAGCGGGGCTATTTATAATTGTCCCAAAACTTATTGATTCAACTTGCCCACTTTTATCCCTTGTTGCTAACATTGTGGAATCTTGTAGGAAGAGTGGGTAGTTTGATGCATACTGGATCATATATGGCTCCCAATTCGCTATGAGAAACCCTGTAGGGAATAACTTGGACCAATCACAGTTCTTTAAGGCCACCACACCCTCTTCAATACTGAGCACATGTATTTTCTTCAATGCGTCAATTAAGTCTTCCTGTTTCTTGGATTGGTTCTTTAAGATTTGGTTCAGGTCTGTTGGGTTTGTATCAAATGAGACTCTTGGCTTGAGATATAAAAAGGAAATAATATACATGTACATGTACAGTTCTTGATTCTTTTTTGAATGTACTGTGTATTAGTATAATTTCAATATCAGAACAAATAAGGCCCGACTTAGGAAATATTAGGTCAATAATTAGACAATAGACATGGGATTGGGAGAGGCTCAAAATGTGAGGATTTTAGAGCAGAAATGCAAGAAGAATTATAAAACTGAAAAGGTATTTCTTGAGTCAACTTCAAAGATGAAATTGATGATTTGACCATGGGCATTCAATAAACCCCATGATTTGATTGAATATTATGTATTAAACAGTGGCGTAGCCAGGATTTGGTGACCGGAGGTTCTATTTTTATGTTATTCACAAATCCCCCCCCCCCTTCATTAGGGTTCCTCAAATTATGCAATTTGTACAATCACACTACCTCCAAAAGTTTGGGAATCCTAACTAACCCATTGGATTATGTATTAAAGCATCTTTAGGTTTGAATGCTTATATGCATAATATGTAAAGAAAAAACTATTTTGGGAGGGGAAATATAATTCATTTTAGAACCTTCATTAAATTAAATAGACAATTGAATTTGAATTTTATTTAACAAAAATGATGTTTTTATTTGCTGAAAGTAATAGGCTTTATCAAGAAACCTCTCCCATTGAAATAACACAGGACGTAAACATGATTTTAAAAAATGACCTTGCAGCTTTGTAACTTTAATGTTCACAAAGTAAAATAAACAGGCAACCATGCAAAAAGTCAGACAACTTATAATTAATTTTCTGCATCAAAATATATTTCTGTGAATCTTTTGCTGGATACATATCCTAAAATCTGATTTGCCCCGAATCCACCATTATTTCGATTGATTTCTGGAAGACCCTGGAGCATGATTTGTTTCCAAGGAATATCAACTATTTCGCACAATTTATTCTTTAACTTAAGCACTTTATCTAGGACAAAATAAATCACCTCATGCAATGGCTTATCATTGTTTTTCAAGAATTTTGTTGGAAGCCAGTTCGGATCAAATGCAATTAAGGTTATTGAAATTGACGCAAACACCCATATACTACGAAAGATCGTTCTTCTATGATAACTTTTCACAAAGTTTACAAGAAGGAAGTTAACTATCCGGGATAGTCGTATTACTGATAAAAATATATATTATTCAAATAAGTGGGTCTAGATTATGCTTTGTTTTAAAAAGTTAAAAATATTTCTTTGGACGTCCCCGGAGCTCAGTGGTAAGTCCCCCGGAGCAGATCAACCGCAATTGATAATAAAAACGTTTTAGTGGATATAAATCATATACAAATACAAGCGACTGTTATTTTGTTAAGTTCAGACGGCTTGATAACAAATTAGGCCTTCATTATTTGAAGATTAATACCATATGATTTTTCAATATTTTTTTTATTATATAATTTATTCGCTAAACATATCATGACATTAACAGGAAAATGGAGAGCAATTCAACTTGAACGATAACAATTTGAATTCTATACAATCTCTTAGATGAGTGGAGTGTATCTGAAAAGACTAAATCATTTTTTGCAATGATTGATTTTCTTTGGAAAATTGATGGGTAAATAAATACTGAACAAATGGAAGAATGAATAAATTTGAACAAATGCTTGTGTTTATAAATGATATACGCTTTTAAATAATTCATTTCACAACGTTTTTAATTATTTAACACAATTGATTTCGGGGACTTGCCAGCCCCAGGGACGTCCCAATAAATATTTTAAATTTTAATTGAAATAAAACAAAACAGAGATGTACGCATTTGAAAGAACATGTGTTTCATCAATATTACGACTATTCCAGATATTTATTCGTCAATGTTGTAAAAATCATTCGGAGTATGGGACGTCTGCATTGTTTTCAATAACTTTCAATAACTTCGTATTGGACCAGAACTGGCTTAAAACAAAATTCCTACAAATGACTGATTTAGCCATTGCCAAAGATGGGTTATTTTGTCCAAGAAGAAGCAGCTTTTAAGTTAATTGTGCGAAATTATTGTTATTTCTAAATGTAGAATCTCAGGCTATGGGGTCTTCCCTTAAATCTCATCCAGTGCCTAAGGTTGCCAAACATTTTGAGGGAAGTGTAACTTCACTATGACATGTTTTTAACAAAATAAGGCTCTCGTGTTCACCATATATATTAAATCATTTACTGCTCATATATGTAGTTTTCAAATAGCACACTGTAGTAATTTAATATTTCTGGTTATATGCATTTTTCCGCAAAATGATATTTTGGGAAATCCTGACCGGGGGTTCGTTCGAACCCACCGAAACCCCCGCTGCCTACGGCTATGATTAAAGCATGTGAAGTTAAATTCTTCTTTCAGTGGCTGTTAAGTATTTATCAAGTATTTATTATCATTAATTGAATGTCAAGTAAGTGTACACACCCTCTTCATAACAAGTTTCTCCTTTGGTCGTTTTGATAGAACCTTTGAGATAACTGGCCAGTTTGCACTGGTGTAGTGCTCCCTTTTTAACTTGGGGTATCTCTCTTTTAGGATGCTCTGTAGGTAGTGGCCTAAAAAGACAAGTCTGTTGATAGATACAAAATGAAAACTTTGTGATTATTGTAAAAATGAAATGAAATAATAAGTTGTTATTATTAATTAATTTGGATGAAAAATACATGAGTAATGTAGATTTGGAAGGAAATAATATTTTCAATGAAAAAATGTGCTTCTCTCTTCATTGAAAATTGAATTTTTCAGTGTCAGATAAGATATGTACATATTCACGCGGTCCTAACTCCGACCGTTAATTTTAATTTTTGACCTACCAGATGTTTGAAAATCAAGGATTACGAGTCTCATACTGCATCGTTTTTCTTCAAACTTGTTCCATTCAAAGCAACAGAGTCCCTACTTCCAGCGGCATTTGGTCTCCAGCTGTAAGAAGGCCTTCTAACAGCTGGGGACCAAAACGCTGCTAGAACGAGGGACTCTTTACAATAAAGTAATGCACCGACAGAAAGGCAATTTTGTTCTGCTTTTAATGGTATAAGTTTGAAGAAGAACGGTGCAGTATGAGACTCGCAATCATTGATTTTCAAGCACCTGGTAGGTCAAAAATTCAAATTAACGGTTGAAGTTAGGGCCGCGTGATATTGTTTTTAACAGGAGGGCATCCATAAAACGAGTGTGTTCATTAGATTGGAGAAAGTGGGTCACAAGAGGATAATGTTCAGGTTTTACTTTACCTAGCTTTTTTAACAGACCCAGTCCTTGGAAATCTTTGTGTACTCTACTAGCCTGCCATGTTATGGAGGTGTCCCCATCTATAACATATGCCATCTGAAATGCCACCTTTAAAGGCCCTATATAAAGTTTAAACCACTTTGGCTTATATTGTAGTCTTACCTAATGTTATCAAAGTGTGATATGTGAAACTTTTTTTTTAAATTTCAAAAAGTGGTTTTTGATAGACTTTTTGTTCCAAAATTTGTGAATTTATTTAAAACCAACTTTTAGAGGTCACTCATATCTTCTAATTAGCCACAATTCATACCAATGCACAGCATTCATCCTCCCATGTTTTTTGCCGAAAAAATTAAGAAAATCGGTTCATAAATAAGCGAAAAATGAACTTTTAGTTCTCATAGAAACCAATGGTACAATGATATCTAAAACATAATTTATTCTTCCTTTTAACCTGGTTAGACAATCAACATTGGTTTTTTATGAAAGTCTAACATATTTAGAAAAGATTGACAAGTTTTTGCTACCTTAGTGACATCACTTAATGTTTCAAAATATTTTTGATATGCTAAAACATTGAAGTGGCCCATTTAATATGGCATTTTATTATTGAAATAGTGTGTCCTTTGTTCAATCTTTACATTGGTGTTAAAAAGATTATATTTTTTGAAATGCATTAAGAAATATTTGATTATTAAGAAATTTCAAATGGCGGGAAATTTGAATATTTGAGAAATGAAATGCTCACAATCTTTTGTTCAAAAATCACTTTTTAGGTCCTGAAAAATAGTAAATGAATGATAAAAAAATATTTTCAAACTTTAGACGGGGACTTTAATAACATGGACTAATAAGTGGAGGAGTGGCTGTTAACTAAAATATCATTGTATTATTCAGGAGGATCTCTCAATTTAAAAAAAAAGTAAAATCTTAGTCTTTTGATTAATTAATTATTAATTTGATTTAATTAGGAGATCTACAAGATATAGAAATGATTCATTAAAGATAATGGTTATTGAAAAGAACAATCTTTTCGTTATTCATTGCATAAGAAATGTCAGCAAAATGTTTGAAGTTACTATGCGTCCATCTACGATAGCCACTCCTAGATTTCTCCTTGGGTCATTCAGATACTCATGATATTTCGAAGAAAGGTAGTCAAGACCATTATAAACATTTCTGTTAATGTCCAAGACAGCTTGATAGTCGCCTTGTGTGGCAATTCTACAAAGGACACCATCTATAGTTGCTGTTGCGGCTCTCCTTTCCTTCATAACTAGTTCTTCAAATGTATATTCTGCCCTTTAATTCTTAGATTGACTTGAAAAATATTTATCAGTACTTATTTATGAGTAGCACACTGTAAACACTGAACAGGCATACAATTGTTAGTGTGTGTACTTTGGCCTTCACTAGTAGAGTAGATTTCATGGCCTGACTTCGTTGGTAGAACTTGAAAAATAAGATTTACCTGAAGATTAAGAGTCTTACTTACCCTCTAGAGGTTAGAACAGGCATTTCAATGAAACCCTATCACCTTTTTTTGCGTCAACTATAGAGCATTTAGTACAATATCCAAGAGGTAAATTATGGATCGTAAAAATGAATGATTTCCTAGTAAGTTCAGGAAGTTTCAATACGATAAATTACCGAACATTTGTGAAAATTGAATCTTTGTTCGTTGATTTTATAATTTACACGTGCCTGTATTCGTCTACACTTTGGTCTATATTATAAAGCATCACAAACAGGTCCTAGAATATTAATAGACTAATACAGCAGACTACCCATTCATACTTTCTGCGCAGCATTTTATTCAGACCAATAGTTCAACTGTAGATCATGCACTTTTTCTATCTTAGAACAGGCCATCCTCCTCTGCCCTGTCCTAAACTCGTCTGCAAAAGAGACCACAAAACATTCTTTCAAATATTAGAATTATTTTTACATCAGACATGGTTGGATGATATGTCACAAAATTAAGGTTCAAGGTCAATACAGTATTTCGTGATAGAGGCAACACTGTCCCGGAAGTAAATACGAGGAAAATGGAAAAGTCTAAAAAGCATTAACACAAATTTCAATCAAGTACTGTGCTTATGCTTCATCATGAACAAAACATAGCTGATATGGTTTCATTAAAATGTGTGTTCTAACCTCTAGAGGGTAAGTGAGACTCCTAATCTTCAGATAAATCTTATTTTTCAAGTTCTACCGACAAAGTCAGGCCATGAAATCTACTCTAGTTATTATATACATCTAAATACAGTGTGACACAAAAATTTATTTTTGAATTTAGATTTCTATCATTGCCATTATTTGAGTCATTGTTTGATCACTTTCATGCAAATTATCAATAATATATATAATTATTTAATCCAATCAGTTTCATTGCATATTATTGGAAATAATCATGAATTGATTTGTTTTGATAAATATTGACATATTTTTGAGTACTTTGGTAAAAGAATTGTTTTCATTGAAAGCCCAGGGTTAAGTGGATTGTGGAGTCATAGTCTAGAATATTTTCAAAATAAAAGCCTCTAGAAAGAGAGAGTTCTTACATTTTGGTGAGCACCCTAGGGACCTGTATCAAAATAATCCTTTATATCTTACAAACGATTTGTGAGATTTGCCAAAGTGAACGAGGTGTCGAAAGGCACTAATTAGATAATTAATTAGTATAGCATTCCTCATTTCTTAACTAGTTCAATCAATACAACCAGTGTTGATCACCACATAAATGCCAAAACAGCTATGGTCAATGTGTCAATTGTTTCATGCTGGACATGTGCCAGTGTTTTGAAAAATCCATAGATTACAGTACTCAATCTGCTTTGATTGATTTTACTGAACTAGTAAACCAACAATCAGAATCACACTACAGCATTGCAGCATTGTCTGCTCCTCAGATTCTCTCATAAGGGAGCTACTGTATTTATAAGTCTGTTATCACATACTCGTAAAAGTACATGCTTATTTGATATACCAAATGGTTATTTTAATATACTGTAGTAACCCATAATCAAGTCACATTGTATTATGTGTTAAATAAGGTAGTCTAGCCTCAAGCCTCTGTGACCCCTCCCCCCTCTACTTGAGTAAACATCTTTTCACACAAAGCCTGAGCTAGACACACAACAGTGCGATTAAGAAGGGATATTTTGATGTACCAAGCTAAGAGGATACTTGGTCTTGGTCTTGACTTGTGTGCTAAGACTGTAACAAAGAGTTTTCGTAACATGCTTGATATTTAAAATTGATGGTACCAATGAAATTACAGTCAATAAATAAATGAGAATAATTATGAAATAGAAGATGAAGGTGAAAATCAGATTAAATTATATGTCAAATGTACTTGTATTAATCATGAGTTCTACATTCATACCAGACATACAATGCCCAATGAAATGCAAAGCTTATTGGTCAGTGCCAATGAGCCCAGTGTCTAGGATCAAATGTACTGCTGGGTGCAAATATGATAACAGATCGATGCAGGTCAAATCTTTGCTAATTGTTAACATTAAATACTATTTGAATCAACAATTAACATTGTTAATGGTGATGCTTTCAGTGTTAGTGATACTTTGATTGAGAGAAGTATTTTAAAGATAATTTTGTATCAAAGGATTTCCTATTTATGATCAATTTTTACAAATTTCATTGACCACGTATCTTCTTGTAATAGAGGATACATGGTGTTTTCATTAACTAGCGTATGAACTGGAATATATACAAAACAAAGGGTATACATAGCTTTGAACCAGCTGAGGGGGGGGGGGGGGGGGGCTGCGATCATAGTATTTTAAAAATTGGTGCAACCTCCTTCAAAATTGACCTAGAAACTTCAAAAAGCATTCTAAACCTCTCATCTCTTTTTTGGTTGTATTTTTGGATGGGGTTGAGATCGCACCAACCGCAACCCCCTTAACTCATTGCAGTAACGTTAATTCAAGTGCCTTTGAATTCGCAAGATACAAACCACAAGACAATACCTCAAACAGCTTCGAAAATCTCTCAAAATTGATAAAAAATAGTTGTTCCCACTTCATTTATAATCAATCGGACTGTATTTGTTAACATTTACTTTCAAAAAAGATATTTCAATTTTGAATTTCTCTTGTAAAAACGCATTTCACCCAAAACACATTTTGACACCTATTTCATCTTGGTAAATCTCAGTATCAATAAAGGAACCCTTGATTAAACATGGTATATTTCGACTTTTTTGAGTCAACTAGACTGTATTTTATATAATAAATTTTCAAAAATATTTTTTTTACCAATTTTAATTTTTGTTGTTGCAAAAAACGCATATTTTACCCAAAAACTAACTTTGACACCTATTTCATCTTGGCAAATCTCAGTATCAATAAAGGAACCCGTTACCTTTCAATTATTACCCATGGTTAAGCTGCTCGTCGATCAAAACGTTCTCATCATATTTTGAACACACTCGTTTTAGTCGATATTGCATGCAAATCACAATTGAAGAGAAAAAATTATTAAGCTCACAAAATCCCCCTAGTTGATTAAACATGGTATATTTTGACTTTTGAGAGTCGACTAGACTGTATTTTATATAATAAATTTTCAAAAATATTTTTTTATCAATTTAACTTTTTTTGCAAAAATGCATTTTTTAACCCAAAAACTCACTTTGACACTTATTTCATCTTGGCAAATCTAAGTATCAATAAAGGAACCCTTTACCTTTCAATTATTAATCATGGTTAAGCTGCTTGTCAAAATGTGTTAACGTTGTCATCATATTTTGAACACACTCGTTTTAGTCAATAATTACATGCAACTTCCCAAAGAAAAAACCCATTAAGGTCCCAAAATCCCCCCAAGTTGATTAAACATGGTATATTTCGACTTTTGAGAGTCAACTAGACTGTATTTTATATAATAAGTTTTCAAAAATATTTTTTATTAATTTAAAAGTTTTTTTTGCAAAAAACACATTTTTTACCCAAAAGGTCATTTCGACACCTTTTTCATCTTGGCAAATCTCAGTATCAATAAAGAAACCCTTTACCTTTCATTTGATAACCATGGTTAAGGTGCTCGTCAAAATGTAAGATGTCATTTTATTTTATACATACCTATTCTAGACTATCATGTGTTTAAATTCTTTTACCTTATTGCAAAAGATTTTGTACAGTCTATCCTAAAAAAATATGATTTTTTGCATTGGTTTGCTAGCTTTGACCTTTTAACTTCCATAAGCACCTGCCTTACTATTTGTTTTTCAATCAATTCAATCATCTGCCTACCTGAAATTTTGAAATTGATGGGGGTGCCCAATTTCATTGAAAAAAGGCCTTTACTCTGCTGTTAAATAAAGAATACATGTACACATTGTGTTCTGATTGGCATGACAGGAATTTGATTTATCATCCATAGCACTGGCGAATCCAGAAGCTAACAAGGGAGGGGGCACATTTGAAGTCATGACAAAAGATTTCCGCACTTTGTTTTCATTGAAAAAAGGCCTTTACTCAGCTGTTAAATATAGAATACATGTACACATTGTGTTCTGATTGGCATGACAGGAATTTGATTTATCATCCATAGCACTGGCGGATCCAGAAGCTAACAAGGGAGGGGATACAATTGAAGTCATGACAAAAGATTTCCGCACTTTGTTTTTCATTGAAAAAAGGCCTTGAATAATTTACTCAGCTGTTAAATATAGAATACATGTACACATTGTGTTCTGATTGGCATGGCAGGAATTCGATATATCATCCATAGCACTGGCGGATCCAGAAGCTAACAAGGGAGGGGGTACAATTGAAGTCATGACAAAAGATTTCCACACTTCGGCCCTTAAAACCAAAAATTAATGAGCCCTAATTTTTGATAATTTGACCTAATTAAGCCCTACAAAACTTTTACCCCGCCTGGATCCGCCATTGCCTAGCTATGTGTAAATTACATTTCAAGCAATTTTACAGCCACTTTTATTTCGTAGCATATCAATTGCTCCCTTATGCTATATGATTTTGAGTGATATCATTTTTATTCATGACTTGATATCAGTATCAGGGTTGAGCCTAGCAAATGGGTGATAAGGTATTATGAATTTAGTAAAATTACATGCTCAATCTATTTTTTCTTCTAATGAGGAAAACAGCAAATTCATAGAGTAGCAAATCCCACTAAATAAAACATATTTTGATAATTAGTGGCCAAATTTCGTCTTAAACAGCTAGAGCAAATCAACATATAAAATTTGAACCAAATCCATTCACTGGTATTATAAATTCAGTTGCCATCTTGAAAATTTCTTCATGAGCAGCTAGAGCTCATTTTTCACGAGGTAGCACCATATAGAGTTTGAACTAAATACTGGTATTGAGTTCTTGCCCGTAGCCAGCTTTTATTAGGAGGGGAGCTTTTTCCAGGGGGTAGCTTTTTCACAATTTTGGCTAAAAATCATGCGAAAAATTCTCAGAATGGTGAAAAACTGCATGCTTTTGAAAGAATTTCTGGCCAGGGGGGAGCAGAACCTTCTGTGTCCCTAGGCATCAAGCATTAAGAATTTGTACCAAAATTTGAGTTATCAAAAATTTGTTTTTTACCAAGTATGGTGGCCATTTTGAAATTTAGTCTCCATCTTAAAAATTCTTTCTTGAACAGAGCTATTGTGTCCTTAGGCATTAGCATATAAAATTTTAACCAAATCGGTTCACTAGTATTTGCCAGTTATCAAAGATTATGTTTTTTATGAAAAATGGCGGTTATTTTTAAGTTCAGCCGCCATCTTGAAAAGTTCTTATCAAACAGAGCAATTACTGTGTCTTTAGGCATCAGCATATACGTAAAATTTGAATGAACGGACGAATAGACAGACAGCTTCTCTATATCCCCTTCAAACTTCTTTTGGTAGGATTATATTTTGGTTATAAGGAATCGCCATGTGAGCCAACAGAATGGTCCCATTTTTATTTAGAGAAAGCCATCGACCAGAGCTCCCAGTATATTTTTACATCATGCAATTTTTGTGGCTTTGCCCCAATCTCTACAGTTTTTCAAGTTTGTACAATGAATATTCCCACATTTTCTCCACAATGCAAAACCAGAACATTCTATTATTCTTTCCCATCAGTGTCACTGGCTTTGCCCCATACACTTTTTTATTATCAGTTTGTGCAATGGATTTTCATTCATTCTCTTCAAGATACAAAAGTCCATAACCATAACTTCCAGATCATTCTATTATTCTTTCACATCAGTGTCACGGGCTCTGCTCGGGGGCTCAACAGTTTTTTCAGAGGATCTACATTTTCTCCACAATGCTAATATAAGTTTCCAGGTGAGATTGAGAGCTTCACACATTGTAATGATGCTCATTCCTATGTAGAAACCTAGAGTCCCACCTATATCTGACATCAATGCATCGCCTGTATATTCTTTTGTCTGTTCTGTAGTCTCAATTGTTAGATCCTTGAAATAGATGTTCAATCTGAGAAAGTTCTTTCGGATAACACCAGATTCAATGACAGCTTCTCTGGCATCGGAAACATTTCCAAGAATTTCGTCAAAGAGTACATGTGAACGCTTTGATTTTGTATCAGATGAGCCAAACATATTTTCAAGAAATTGTTGTTGTATATATTCAAATGGCCAATAAGCATTTGAAATAGTTTGCTCATAGCGTATCTCATAGCATGGGTGTTTGCATTTACATCGTTTATTTGTTTCGGGGTGTAATTTCATTTTCAAAAGATGTTTTTCACATTTTAATTTTGCAAAATCCTTATCTATGATTGTAACATTGGGGTCTTGTAGCATTAGATTATCAAGATTCAATCTTCCACACAGTTGCAAGTCTTTGGCATCATTTGGCATCAGAAGAAAAGCAGAGACACATCCACATTGGTGCATTATCTCCTTCTGTTGACATTGTTCTAGACATCCTAAATGTGAATATCCCAGATTTGTACCATCTAAGAATTCTCTATTTGTGCACGATCCGTAAGGCTCGGCTAGTCTTTTCCTTGCATGTGTAGTCAAACCAATAGTGGTCGAATAACCTGGGGGCACATCAAAACCTTCCACTATAGGGAATGGCAAGGATTGTGGCGGGTGTATTGTAACGTGTAGTCCAGTTGTACCACTGTTTGGATTCTCAGGGTTATATACCATTTCATTCGGTAAGACCTGTTGGTTGAATTTGAAAGCATCTAAAAAGATGACCATGCTTAAACCATTTATTGGATTTGCTTCCTCAACAATCATGTTTGATAAATTCAGTCCATGTCCATTGAAAGTGAAGCATTTTTGATAGTTTCCATTTACAGATGTAATAAAGAAGGATGTGTCACATGGTTTTTCCCTCCAGGAACACCTTGCCAGTAGGCTATCCAAGTCATGAGTGTATTTTTCCATTTCTTCATCACTGTTCTCAAACACAGAAGCATAGGAGTTAAGCCTATTTCTAAAATCTAAATACACATCTTCTCTGTCAACCTTCTTTGCTATATAACCCAACTGATTCCTGAGAGATACATATTTGTGGAATCTACTTTCTTTTGAGATTTTAAGTGAGGCGTTAAATAATGATGTTGCTGTAAATGGGAACAAACTGCAAATTGTCACTGATGGCATTTCAAGATCTCCATGACTAATCATTATCGCATCTTTATCTACACTTTTTTATCAATTTGTGCAATGGATTTTCATTCATTCTCTTCAAGATACAAAAATCCATAACCATAACTTCCAGATCATTCTATTATTCTTTCACATCAGTGTCACGGGCTCTGCTCGGGGGCTCAACAGTTTTTTCAGAGGATCTACATTTTCTCCACAATGCTAATATAAGTTTCCAGGTGAGATTGAGAGCTTCACACATTGTAATGATGCTCATTCCTATGTAGAAACCTAGAGTCCCACCTATATCTGACATCAATGCATCACCTGTATATTCTTTTGTCTGTTCTGTAGTCTCAATTGTTAGATCCTTGAAATAGATGTTCAATCTGAGAAAGTTCTTTCGGATAACACCAGATTCAATGACAGCTTCTCTGGCATCGGAAACATTTCCAAGAATTTCGTCAAAGAGTACATGTGAACGCTTTGATTTTGTATCAGATGAGCCAAACATATTTTCAAGAAATTGTTGTTGTATATATTCAAATGGCCAATAAGCATTTGAAATAGTTTGCTCATAGCGTATCTCATAGCATGGGTGTTTGCATTTACATCGTTTATTTGTTTCGGGGTGTAATTTCATTTTCAATAGATGTTTTTCACATTTTAATTTTGCAAAATCCTTATCTATGATTGTAACATTGGGGTCTTGTAGCATTAGATTATCAAGATTCAATCTTCCACACAGTTGCAAGTCTTTGGCATCATTTGGCATCAGAAGAAAAGTCATGAGTCATGAGTGTATTTTTCCATTTCTTCATCACTGTTCTCAAACACAGAAGCATAGGAGTTAAGCCTATTTCTAAAATCTAAATACACATCTTCTCTGTCAACCTTCTTTGCTATATAACCCAACTGATTCCTGAGAGATACATATTTGTGGAATCTACTTTCTTTTGAGATTTTAAGTGAGGCGTTAAATAATGATGTTGCTGTAAATGGGAACAAACTGCAAATTGTCACTGATGGCATTTCAAGATCTCCATGACTAATCATTATCGCATCTTTAACAGGGTATGAAAAATATTTCTCCATCATGCTAATAATACCTTTGATTGCCATGCATGTTGAAGCAAGGAAAACTAAAGTCCAGAAGCATTTTCCAAATTTATTCTTTGACCTAATAATAGATCCACATCCATGTGCAGTTGTATTCTCAGCAAAGTCCCTGATTATTTCCTTTGGCATTTTCGCTTCAGTAACAATGTTATTCATTCTTTCTTTGCGTTTTTGCAGCAAATAGTGTGATTATGGGACTTTGTGTTTGTTTTGAGTGAGATGTTTCAAATTGATGATTGCTTCAAAAAGGATATTTTGAACTTCATTAAAATAATCTAAAAGTTTGTATGTAAGCAATTCCACAGTGAAAAATACTGAATCGAACTAATTGCTTCCCTTCTACTGCTATAAAAGCTGGAGTGGCTTACACAAATACATAGGACAGATACTAGTTATTAATTGATCAGGTGAAATTGTAGTATGTAACAGATACCATGCCTTTAATGGAGCTATGAAAGCTTCTTTCCATGCCATTAAAAGCCATTAATATTTCATAGAATTGAAAGATAAATGATTACACCTTTAAGGTTGTTGTCCAAAATGCTTAGCTTTAGTTTTTGAATAATGTTAAGTCACCATGTTGAAAATGATTGTTTGGGGGTTCACATCTAATATAAGGTGGTGGCACTATCATTTGCATGATTCAGAAACATATGAAAAGAACATTTTAATTCATAGTTATTTTCATGGTTTTATACATTGTAGCTGATTGATTTTTGGCTGATTGGTGTATAATTACCTTGTAATTCTATATGTTCAGAAATTGTAATGATTTCCTAATTGGATTCCTCTGTTATTTCCAGGTAAACATACAGTAAATCATTCTATGTAGGCACTAGATAGTATGGCACTCGATTACCATTTTGGTAACCTTGATTTCTCGAGATACAGACCTGCCAACCTCCCATTTTTTTATGGGCATGTAACGTAAAATTTTTGTTTTTCCATAAAGAATAGCAAACTCCCGTACAGTTTTCTCCATAAAATCGTTTTTTGCTGTCAAAATCTATCGTATATTTAAAATGATTTTGACAAATTTGTGACCTTGATTATCGGAGTCGCATCTCTTTCTTTTACTCTCAGTTTCACAGGCAGGAAAATTTATAAATCTATTTGCGCATGCGCGGCATTAAGAGAGAGCACATGCTCATGATTGTTCAAGTGATTATAAGCGACAATTTAATTGGACAGCATATACTGATGGGCGTGATGATGAATACCAAATGTAGCATCTATAGTATTCGTGATTTAGATAATGTTCATACAGTGTACATTGAGAATTACATGTAATCACCCTTATAATAACTAATAATAATCTGTGTTCATTTATCTCTGTGGAAAACTATGAATGTCCTCCTAAAACTAATGTCCACTAGTGTCCATTGTCCATCCATGATTTATATTTTTATTTCACGATCATTTTCCAAGTTTTTTTCATTAAATGAAACTGGATATCCTATACTAGAGGCACATTCTATGCCAGATTACACAAGGAACAAAATAGAAAAAACGGGAAGATACAATCTTACATTATTTAAAATGCTGTTTTGGGAGGTTAAAAAAGATATAGAATTTTAAAAGATATTCAAGTTGAGTATAGAGTTCATTTATCTCTGTGGAAAACTGAAAGATGTAAAGTATGTATGATATGAGCTACAAGTAGCTGGACATAACAAAGGGTTCGAATTAGTGAGCCATTAGAATTTCTGAACAGAACTTCCTAAACATAAACTTTGATCAAGTAATGTTAGTGTGTACTCTCAGGACTAGGCACTTCATTATTTGACCTTTATAAAATGCAATTAGCTAATAGTTTCTCTAATGTGTCATCCATCAGAGATTGATAGCTTATAACAAAGATCCTTTTGAAATTAAATGCACAACATATTGAACAATGTTATTCTCCCCTATTGTGCACACCACTTTATAACATTAGCAATAAATGAAAGAAGAATGTTAGAAGAATATCCCGATAATGAAATATAAGCATGGTTAGCATTTGTTATACTATTTGCAGTAAAATAATCATAAAAAAGATTAACAATTTGTTTATGGTCTTTATTTTAACATAAAGGGAATTCTTACAGGGGGGACTTCAAATTAGACATTTGAGAAAAACAACCAAATGAATGTATTATTGCAGAAAATGATTATAAAATCAAATACTGATTCGCCAAATTGTTAAAGTCCGCCAAATTAAGTAGCTGGCAAGTTCCCCAGGTAATTTTAGTACCAAGTAAATAGTACCATTAGTATAGTGCATTGTGATATTGCAAGTCTGCCAAATCAAGTAGTCGCCAAATGTTCAAATCAGGAAATCCACCAAATAAGTAGCGCCAAATTAAGTAGAAGTACAGTAGAGCAAATGAATTAAAGTGATTTTTGTTTTCTTTACTTCCAGTTATGACATACTGCGCTATGAGACATATACGTGCTGTGCTGTACATGTGTTATACAGATACTATATTCCTTGATGCAGAAACAATGCGGACATTCCAAGATGTTCTAAAGGCTACACCTATCAAGGATGTAATCAAGGTATATTTGTATTAATTTGTGAGTCAAAGTTCTGATTTAAAGCCAATTCTCAAAATGGCTGCCTGTTTCAAAATGGCAGCTTGACCATATTTTTGTCACAACCAATAGAAAAGGTAATATTGTGTTTTAACCTCTTGAATCCCAGGCTCTAAAATTGGCATGAAACCAGAGAATTTTTCATTATTTGCCACCTTTTGACATTTTATTACATACCTATACAACTTTAGATGCTCAGCTTAGTAAAATTGGACGGCAGAGATCATTTCTACACGTTTTAAAACAATTTTTGTGTAAATTAGATGAAAATTGTTCAAATGAGAGCAATTTTTGTGAAAAATTTTGTGACGGATTTTCTCGTCCCTCTGGGCACCAGTCTTATTTCATTTGTGACGGATATATCCGTCACTCTGGGTATTCAAGAGGTTAATGTAAAATCTAAATTACAGAATTGGGACCAAAATAAAGTCAGAGGTTTCATTAGCAGCGGGCAACAGGCGATTTCACCAGTTATTTTCACAAAATCGCCTGTTGTTTTTAGGGTCTTTTAAACTTTTATATGTTAAATTTATGGTTTCCATTAAGTTTCCCTGTTGTTTTCATTTATTTAGCCTGTTGTGAGAGATGTACAGATATACAGGTTTTACTGTACCTATTTAAGAGAATGTGTGTTAATTAGCCAGAGTGCCTACATATAATATGTTTTCCCAATCAGGAAAATGTCTAGGGGTTTCAAAATTGCTCCTAAATTGATATTAACCTGGGAACTTTGAAATTGTAAAAAGTCTGGGAATTTTGTCAAGTCAATGTTTATATTTGATCCATTATATTCCAGGCAAATGTGAATGCTGAAGAGACGATGAAAAGATTTGTTGAGCTGCATGCCCAGCAGAACCCGCTATACATTTGAGGACAGACTCTTATGAAAAACGACAGTACTGGAGCACTCAACTTATATCAAGGACTCATTATCATATTATCTGATCATAAGCAATCTTCCCATCATCTGACACCACCTCCCCTCAATTTACTAGTTTCCCCCTCCCTATACCCATTATTTTACCCCCTCCCCAATTAATGAAACCCCTTTTCCATCTGATCCTCTTTCCCAATATTTGATCATATTCCCAATAAGCTGTTCTCTCCGTCCAAAATAATTGGTCCTTTGTTGAGTACTCTCTCTCTTTTTCATCCCTCTATTATAAGGGTGAGGGGTAACACAGGATAGTAGAATTGAATATCACAAGGAATCATGTTTCAAAGAACTTAGTGAGTGGAATATCATAAGAAATGTTCATGCTAGGTATACAGTGGCATTAGGTGGATTTCTATATACAAAGTGAAAGGATATTTTGATCAGCTATGATCAGAATAAAATTTTAGAG